AAACGCTAGCACATGTCGACATGTTCGTGATAGAACCGGTTCGCTTATGGCTCTACTAGTGGGGATTATACACTAGCACTCGTGGCCCTACTAGTGGGGATTATACACTAGTACTTGTGTGCCTGCCAGTGAGAACTGGCCATGACTAATAGAGGAGACCACTACGTGATTTTACTTGCATTAATGATTTGTTATTGAAACGCTCTGTTCATGTTTCAACGGATTATTTGGCATGCTTTAAACTTTGATGTTGGGCCCTTATGTTTACTTACTGAGATATTTCTATCTCACAGTTTCCTTGCCCACCATTTCAGGTAGTGAGACCCGACGCGTGGGAAGCCCGGGGGAGTGACGAGCTAGACGGCTAAGCACTTTTGGACTTAGGTTTTTATTGTAGCTAAGCCGTTAGTCACCCATACTTGACATAGAAAATTTTGTGTACAGAATTTAGTGTTAGTCATGATTGTATATATGAAGTGATAAATTTTGTACATTCGACTGGTAGATATTTGGTAAATTAAAAGGCTTAAATCTGAATTGCTAAGTAAGAACTCAGTAGGTCTCGAGCCTTGTGCATTTGTGGGCCCCACTCACGAGTGCACGACGTCTGTTTCGCTCTTGGTTTGGGGCGTGACAGAAGCTCCCAAGTTTACATAGAAAATTTTGAGTCAACTTATCACAAATAGTGCTACACAAATCACATTAGTTCATCTTTGATTTTCATTTAATTTATGATATATATTAGTGGAAGTTATTGTATAAAATCTTTTTTCAGTCTTAGTTATACTCTCTAAATTAATTTTAATATTGAGTTGCTAACCAATATTTAAAAAATATTAAAAATAATAATGTATATTCTATATAAAATAGTGTAAGTATTAAAAACATAAAATTCTATCTAAATTGACTAGACTATATTATATAGCCTTAGATGACTAAATTAATTTATAATTTTTTTTTTGTATATTAAAAGGTTAACTGCTTGTCATTACAAAAATTTACACATTTAATATTCACCATAAATTAAGTTTTTAAATTAGTAATACCAACTTAATTAAGATCTTGCTAGTTTAAATTATTCATAATAAAAGAAAAGAAAATAAAAAATTTTATAATAAATATAAAAGTATCTAATATCATAAAATTAAATTTAAAAATAAATAAAACTAATTTAATAATATAAATCTCAAGTTTTTTTTATCTTAAGTTTCTCATTATTGTTCCCCTCTTAGTCTCTAGAAATTCTCAAAATTGATTTTAAATGAGTATTTATAAAATTTTTAAAAAATCTTATTAAAATAAAGAAGTAGGATACATGTCAAAAATATAAATTTTTAAATAGAATGGCTAAGAGCACCACAATAAAGGTGTCGACACTTGTGCTTCAATTTTGTACCGCCATAACCTTCGACGGCACCCATCCCGTCTCGGTGATTATTTTTGGATACTATTGCAATTTCTCCAGAGCACGTTTGTCATGGCACCGACACCAAACTACCCATGTCGGCTATTGCTTTATTTTTTTCTAAATGGTAAAATAGCACATCTGGTCCTTCAACTTCTACTTTATGACTACTTTGATCTTATGACTTTGAATTCATTTAGTTAAGTCCCTAATTGCTACTCTTCTTGCAATATAGTCCCTGAACTTTTAAAAGATTTTCATTTAAGTCTAAAAACTTCTATTGTTATGCATTGAAATTCTTTTCTGCACAAAGAATTGAAAGGTAGTGTTTTCAGGCCAACTTTTGGGGCACATTGCAACTTAAGACTAATTCTTTCTTAGGCAATCTTAAAAATGCATTTTTTTTTTAACTTGGTATATTTAAGAAAATTAATTTTTTTAAATGTTAGTCCTAAGATTTGAAATTTGGTTTTCAATATGACACTTATTTATCAATATATTTAACTCTTTGAGTTGCCCATTGCCAATAAAAATTTAAACTTAATATACTTTTTTTTTTGTATATAAAACATGGCAATTACAATGCCTATTATTTTGTCCCCTAAAAAATGTCTCAATAGTTAAAAGTTCAAGTTTTCATGTTAAAATTTTTAATTTCGAAATTTAAGATAAATGACGAGGGGTTTGAGAAGAGAAGAGCTATAATTTATTATATAGTTAATTATCTAACATACAAGAAAAAGAAAAAAACTATTATTTTTAAAGGGACGGACAATAGGTAATCTCTCATGTTCAAACCTATATCTTATAAGGGTGTTCCCACTTAAGCCAACTATCCATGCTAGTTAGTTTGAACGAGAAAGAATGTTTGACACATGGGGCGGAGTTATTATGACACCCTAACTTGTTAATATTACACATAAAAATATAAAGTGACTCTTTTATGATAACTCTAGAAGTAATAGTTTCTCCTTTTCAAATCTATCCTCTCTTTTTTTCTTCTCTTTTACAAAAAATGGGCAAACGTTTATTAAAAGAGAAGCAGGAAAGAGGGTGGTTTTGGAAAAACAATATTGTTTCTATAATCATAGTTAAAAGCGTTACTTTATGCCTTTAGATGTGATATTAATAAATTGAGAAACGATTTTGAGATAATTTTTTTATAGAAATTGATGTGTCATTAAATATTTGGTTCTTTTTATTTATGTGGAACTCGTGATATTGAATACAACCACTAATTTAATGACATGTGAAAGTTGTATAAAAAATGAACTAAAAAAGTTATTCCTATATTACTGTACTAATAAATTAATGTGTGGCAATATCCTTGGCCAATTTACATTCTTTTACAGGTAAGAAATCATTTGGTTTAGATTCTGGGCACCATTCAAAGTGAACGTGGGTAAGCAATTTTTCTTTTTTCTTTTTTTTAGGCCGACAAGAAGCATTTTCTATTAATATCAAAAATAGAAGTCTTTACATAACACAGGAAGAAAAAAAAAAAAACAATAGAAATTACAATAGGATTAGAAGCAGACACCCAAACACAAACTTTGAAAGAAAATAAAGCCCTACAAACTGCCCTGCGAGGAACGAGAAGTCCAATCACTCGTTTGCTTAAGCTCGACAAATTAAGCTCTTCCATAGCTTGAACCATGTTCCTCTCACAAGGGTGTAGATGAGTAAGGGCATGAGATGGAAATGAGGACTTACAGCTGCAACAACTATTTGCAATCAACCTGGGACAATTACCTCATACCCAGGAACCCTTAGAAGCCTCCAACGAAGAAACTCATCAAATGACTTGGACATTATTCCATTCTTTAAGCTGTAAAGAAAAAACAAGAAAACTAAGAGGTTTGATGAAGATTCTTAATAACTAGGTAAGCAATCCACGTTGAATTTGGGGAATTCATTGAGCAAATTTCTTCTCATTTATTTCCATAAAATACACTTGACAAAATTGAATTGAATTTAAAAATTTGACCTAATCCACTCACTATAAGTAGGGTTATGTGTTCCAAATATCAATCTAGAATCTGATACAATTCAAACCGAGATTACCTTAACCTAATCTAAATTGGATCAGGTCACATGCAATTAATTCAACTTGAAGTGATATTAATTTTTAAAATTTTAAAATTTTGATAATTATACTTTTAAATTTTTGATTTTTAAATTAAATATAAGATAAAATTAAATATTATAAAATGACTATTATTAGTGTTAATATTAATTTAATAGATTTTTTAGACTAAATAATTAGTTAACATTAATTTTTTAAAAATAGAAAAAATTTAAAAAATTTTTAATTTTTTAAAAGGTTCACCCAACTCAATGCAAGATTCATGTAGGTGGATTATGAGCTTATTCACTTTAACTCAAAATCGAAAATAACTTAATCCAATAAATTCTAAATCCAACCAATGACTTGTTGGTCTAAGTGGAACGAGCTCGATTCCTCTTAAATAAAAGTTCGAATTCAAGTCTTGTAAATAAACAAATAGGCGCTGGGAGAGCTTTCCCTTAATGAGGTCCGATCTAACTTGATTTTAGATTAATCAAGACCCAAAGTGATTACTGAATACCGAGAGATTAGTAAAAAAATAAAACATAAATTCTAAATCTAAGGTGATCTAACCCATACCCATCCAACCCAATCTAATTGCCAAGGTCTACCCCAAAATCAAAACCTTTGATATAATGAGTGAATACATATATATATATATATATATTCCAAATTTTTATTTTATCTAAGATTTATAACTATTTTATTGAAAAAAAATGTATTTTATAGCATATACTAGACTTTTTTTTTTTTTTGATCAGCAAAACGAAGAGCATTAAATTATTTGAGGGAGTACAAGGGGTACTCCAACCCATATACAAAGATAAAGCCCTATTATTGGCATTAGCAAAACACACCAATCAGCCAAAAATAACAAAGCTGACCGTAAACAGCAACTCCTAAATGCCTACATGAAGCACTCATAATAAACCGTGATGCTCCTTTTGGAAACTCTTCAACATCCGCTTATACCGTTTAATAGCATATACTAGACTTAAAACCCTATTATTATCTCTTAACTTTAATTATTATCCTATCACAAAAGTTTCTCTTTATCTCTCTCTTTTTTTAAGATAATATCAATAAAGTATGAATTATTTTCAAATCCTTAATTTGAAAAAAAATAAAAAATAAAAACCTAACAGTTACTTAGAGTATGTAGTTTTGATAGATATTTTTCAACCCTTATTCCAAAAGTACATAGTTTTAGAAGAAAACTAAATGATTTTTATTGAAACAATGTAGTTTTATAGTCAGAATTGCTTCTTTTTTTTTCTTTTTTTCTTTTTAAATCAATTTGGTATTCAATTCCAAAAACATTATTGTTCAATTAACATTTTGAAAACCCAACCAAGAACAAATTGATAACCATTAGAAGAAAGAAACTCCATTTTGTAACAAAAGTTTGACAATATTAAATTTTATATAATTAATAAACTAATTAGTTCAATCAAAATGAAAACCAATATATGTGGTATTTAATTTAACAGTTATTTTAAGTCTACACTATTTTTAACAATTAATGAAGATATGAATTTTTAATTTTAAGGAGCTCATCCCCTCCATTAAATTTAGCAACTGCACTTCACTTTTTTGTTTTTATATATATTAAAATAATAATAATAATAATAATAATAATAATAATAATAATAATCAGCATCTTATAATCAAGTTTTTGGATGTGCAAGTGACTAGGTGCACATAACGTAATGTGCTAAAAGAAATTGTATGAGTTTGAAATAATGGAAGAATTAGGTGGTTTTGGGGATTTGAGAAATGTTGCTTGGACAAAGCAAGCAAAGCCTCTCCACCCAAAGCACCCCCTCATTTTCAGAAGCCGTGCCGTCTTGGTTGTTACCATACGCCAAACCCACAAAACTTCCTCCGCACTTCATCTTCCTCACTTTTCCATATTCTATTCACTTCTTTAGATTCTTTTGTCCTCATTTCTCATTTGCCCCCTTTTCTATTTCCCAATGCACTCTTTGTTTTCCATTTCTCCATCACATCCCCATCAATGAAGCTATCAACCCTTTTATATAACCCTTGTAAACCACACTTAAAAGCACTCGCCAAAGGTCTTTTTTTGAGATGTTTAACTTTGGTTTTTCTTTTCTTTTCTTTTCTTTTTTTTTTTTGTTAAATATCTTAAATTTAAATTTAAAGTAACAAGTAAAGAAATTTGAAGATAAAAAAGTTATTTTTATTGTATAACTTAGTATTTGATTTAAAACAAATAAAAAAAATCAAATATACAACAAGAAATCAAACAACAATCAATATGACAAATGAAAATGAAATTTGATTTCATCTTAAAATTCACTTAAAATTTAAAATCTTAATAGTATGTTTGGGTTAATGCTAATGGAGGGGCGGAGAGTAGAAGATTTTTTAACTAATTAAATTATAATTTTAAAAAATATTATAATTTAATTAATTAAAAATCTTTTCCTTTCATTTCTCACAACTCAAACAAACTATAAGTTAAAATAAGATATCTACTTGGCCATAAGATCATAAATGAAAATCATGGTTAAATAGACCTTTTCAAAGATAAACCATCCTTTAAATCAATTGATGGTCAAGATGTTTAGGTAATACTATGAACTCTAAGGTGATGTGTACCAAAAAACTTAGTCCAATATGGACACAGAAAACCATCATGCTTGCGATGGACGGCTCATGGGTACAAGAATTCAACCTTCTCAGCACTCGAGAAGCGTTTTTGAAGCCTTAATATTTGGATTTTGAGCTTGCACTCGTGTGCATCTGACTTTGACTACATAAAAAAATTACTCCGAGACAGCTGTGTGTAGACAAACCGATCAAACCACCTCCTTTTCTCACTTCTGTAGTTTCTTCCCACTGGTTTTCTGGATTCTAGAAGTTCAAGATACTACCTTTTTGCTTTGAAATTCGATGCCGATCTGAAGCATTTATGGCCATTAAAGGAGAAGTAGGATCAAACCAAGAAGAGTGAATGTTGTTCTTGTTCTTGCAGGAAGATCATCAGCTTGAGTTATAGAGTTCTTGATGAGGTAATCATTATGGAACTTTTAAGTCCAAAAGCAAGTTCTGTGTCTTCTAGTCCTTTTTGTTCACCCAACGTCAGTGCCCTGCTAAGGATTAAAATCATTTCCTGGTAAGATGATGGTTTTTCGCCTTTTCGGGTTCTTTACCTGCTTATATTACCTTTGCAATTTTGTTGAACAATTCTTGTCATTTGGAATATTGGATCCTGTTAGGAGCCAAGAGACTGGTTTGCCTGTTTCTCTGCGTGTTCGAATTGGTGACAGAATCTTCTGCCTGCATAAGGTATGATGAAATTCAATATTAAATCCAATATCTGCCCGAAATTTCAATTCAATCATTTAATCTTACATTTGGTTTTTTGGATGAATCTTTGCTGCAGCACCCTATGTTTTCAAAAAGTGGATACTTTCAGAAGAGGTTGACAGAATCAAATGAGCTTGAGCTGCCACAGAATTTCCCTGGAGGACCAGAAACTTTTGAGATGATTGTATTGTTCATCTATGGTTCTTCCACATTGGTCGACCCTTTCAACGTAGCAGCTCTGAGGTGTGCAGCAGAGTTTCTTGAAATGACAGAAGAATACTGCACTGGGAACCTCTGTGATCGTTTCGACCTCTATCTGAACCAGGTTGTCCTGCAGAGCTGGGATGACACTCTGATTGTCCTCCAGAAATGCCAAGCTTTGCTTCCCTGGTCTGAGGAGCTGCTGATTGTGAGCAGGTGCATTGAGTCTCTGGCATTCATGGCTTGTATGGAGATTCTGGATCCGGAAAGGCGAAGGGATCGACCAGTTGTTACCTTGGAGGCATTGGCTGGGGAAGCTTGGAGCCATGAAGCAGGGAAGACAATTGTCAACCAGGAATTATGGATCAAAGATCTGACTGCTTTACCATTTGGATTTTTTAAGAGGATAATTGGATCCTTGAGAAGACAAGGAATGAAAGAAAAATTTGTTAGTCCTATCATCGTCTTCTATACAAACAAATGGATGCTTTCGCAGAAAACGCACCAATTCTGGGAGAAAGCCAGTCCAAAAATGGGAGAAAATGACACAAACATAAAATTTTCAGTCATCTTGCAAGGTATTCTTGATATTCTGCCAATGGGAGAGAAGGCTAGTAGGGCCATTCCTGTTGGGTTTTACTTTGCACTGCTGTCTAGATCCCTAGAATTTGGCTTGAGAAGTGACAGCATGGTGAAATTGCAAGATCAGATTGCATCCATGTTACATTTTGCTCAGGTGGAAGATTTTCTCCATCTGCAAATTGGGACCGAGTCCATTTTTTCCAGCAAGGAGTTGGCTGCAATGCGGAGCATATTTTCGACTTATGTATCATATAAAGTGGAAACAAACCATACTCCTTCAGCAACCAATTCCACTATTGCAGAATTGTGGGACACCTTTCTCATCCAGGTAGCTTCTGACCTAGAAATGGGGCCTCAAAGTTTCATGGAACTCATTGAAACAGTACCAATATCTTATAGACTGAGCCATGATCTACTGTACAGAGCTATGAATAGCTTCCTCCATGTAGGCTCTCTTAAACTTCTCCAGCCTCCAAATATCTTGAAAATATTTGTTGTTTTGTAAAGTTAAATATTTAACATGAATTCAGAATCGTTCGTGTGGTTGATACTGTTTCAAAAAGTTCAATCCTAAGTGATTTAGATTATAAGCTCACCCTTTAACAAGTAGCATATGTATATTATTCAGGCACACAAAGATATATCTCAAGAAGAGAGGGGAATGGTCTGCAAGTACCTGAACTGCCAACAACTGTCACAAGAAGCATGTATAGAAGCAGTTCAAAATGAACTGATGCCACTGCGTTTGATTGTTCAGGCTCTTTTTGTCCAGCAGCTGAACACGCATCAAGCTTTTAAGGAATGCTCGGAGTCGTTTAGGTACACAGGACCATTCTCTGGAAGTGTTCCCAGTTCAAGATGTCCTAATACCAAAAGCCTGACTCTAGGAGAAAGCCCCTACACAGATGGAGCAGAGGAAGGCAGCAGCAAGCCCTTGAGCTTCTTGCTACAGAATGAACTTGCAATTGACAAGTGTGATTTCTCGAGGAAGGATTATGAGTCCACCAGCTTCAGAATTCAGAACCTTGAGAAAGAGCTCATGTCCTTGAAGAGGACCCTGCAGCTGCACAACATGTCAAAGAATTCAGGATCAGATTCAAACAAAACAAAGAGCAGTAAAACACATGGCTTGGGAAGGCGATCAGTAAGCAAGAGGGGGAACCCTTTTGGACAAGTAACGGGATGCATTGGTTCTGTCAATTTTGCTTCTCAAAGAAGATATGCCAGCAGACTACTGAAGGTTATCTGTAGATTTGCCTTGTTTGGCACTAGGAAATCTAAGAGAAACCAAGGAACCTCAGGATTTTGGGCTAAATCAATCTAGCAGACCATGATCAATGTATGTATGAAAATAATTTCAGAAACAAAATAATGAGAAACCCATTTTGTGAATATGGATTAAGAACCTAATCTAAACAGTTGTTTCCATTGACTTTTCAACTTTCCACAGAAAATTCTTTCAAGGGAAAACAACCCAGAAAAACGAGTTTCTTAAGAAATCAAAACGATCAATGAATTTTTTGCTAATTTCCTTTTGTATTGGGAAGTAGCTTCCTTATGATAAGATACTACTGCAAGATGATGTCAAACAGCACAAGTAGAAACACCAACCATCAGTGTTCGTGTAATCAACTTGTTTTCCGTTGATTCATGACCTTTTCCCAAAATTTCCTCCAGAGACGAAGGAAATACACAAAATATAAATAAATAAATAAAAGCTAAGGCTCCTCATTGTTGAATGTTTGGCCATCAGGTTCAGAGTCCCCAGTTCTATGATAATATGCATAACCATTTACCATAGTTTTCTGGACTACCTTGCCTGGTTCCCATAAAGAACTGGCGGCTATCTATTTCGCCAGGCAACAAGTAATCGAAGATTATGACTTCAAAACCAAGCTACGTACATTTTCCCTGATAAATCACCTCGTAATAATTTCGAAACAACCTTTTTGGCCAACAACACTTTGCAGCGATAGAACAAGTAATCGAAGATTATGACTTCTAAAACCAATCTACATTTTCCCTGATAAATCACCTCGTAATAATTTCAAAACCACCTTTTTTGGCCAACAACGCTTTGCAGTGATAGAATTCCTTAAATAATGCAACAGCATAGAGGAGAGTTTCCATACACTCGAAATCTTGAATGCCAGATTGCTGAAATGTCATCTAAACTTCTTGAATGCCAATACCAAAATCAAACACCCAGTTCAAATATTTATACAAGGAACTTCAAAATATAAAGGGATTTACAGTAAGCATGCAAGTAGCAAAATAGAAGAATGGAAAACATGTCAATTCTAAATCCTGATCCCTAGAAAACTGAGTCATCTGAACATAATTTAACTTCTGATTGTACCTAGAATAATGGAAACAAATTGGACAAGCAAAAATGATGCCACAGAAATAGCCCAGGCATATTTGAAAACTCGAACATTAAGCACTAGATTACTTCTTTAGATGAATCCATTTCCTTTGCCACCTGTAGAAGACTGGCACCCTCAGTCTTCAGTTGCCTGTCAAAATGGTTGATCAAAAAGGAAAAAAAAAAAAAAATTGCCAGTCAAAATGAAATGAAAATCTATATTCAAAAACGGCAGGATGCAAGGCAAATTTAAAGAAATAAAAAGGTTCCCAGGTCAAAATGAAATGAAACTTTTAAATTCACAAATAGCAGAATGCAAAGCAAATTTAAAGCAGATGGCACAAAGTATATATGTCTACATCCATGCATATGTAACCAAACTCTGTTGCTTGGAAGACATTCAGTCAATTAGAAAAATATTTACCACATAAAACATCAAACAATGCTTCCATTTTATGCTGCAACACTATTATCACCCTGATCTCCAAGATCCTCAGTGTTTTCAAGACATGGAGGTTGAATAATGTCTTCTTCCTCTATTTTTGCTTGTTGATCATTCACAATAGTAACAGCAGGGAGCTGTGGATCATTAACCTTATCAGCTATGTCATGAATTTGTGATTCATTAATATTGTCAGTTTCAAGAGGGACCTGTTTGTCATTGACCCCATTAGTTGCATCACTAATGGCTGAATGATTTAGCTCATTAGCTGCATTATTAACCTCAGAATCATTGGTTGCATCACAAAACTGAGATGACTGGGGAACAATCTCCATTTCCACTTCGACCATTTGTTGATCATTCTCACCAGCCACATGAGAAATATGTGACCCATCAACCTCATTAGTAATTGAATCACGAAGTTGCATGTTTTCTACCTTGTCAGGTTCATCATACAGCTGTGCAGGGTCACCATCACCAGCTGTTATGCACAGTGGGAGATGATCAACCTCACCTTCTGCCTGACGTAAATGTAATTGATCTACCTCAACAAAAGCTCCACAAAACTGAGATTCATCTTCACTAGCTGCATTGCCTTCCATGGTGTCATTACTACGCCTTCGTTTACCAGAACCTTTCCTTCTTACCCTTTCCTTCCCCCTAGTCCTTTTCCCAAGTTCACTTGCTGCAGGAGGGGATGATGCTACAACTGGACTTCCAACTTGGTCCTTCAAGCATTCTTGAGCGATGCACATAATCCTGGAAATTGAATCAAATTGCTCAGGATCCAACCCTTTCATTGAGAATGTCTCTGCTAAGTAAGAGATTTCCCGTAAGCCAGAAATCTGTAGCAGAAGAAGCAACAGGTTTATATATGTCAAACAGACAGAAACAGGTGATAGACATCAATTAACCACTTAAGTATAGCCTTACCGTTCTCTGAAACTCAGATGACAAAGAAATAGGCCTTCCTACAACTTTACGAGTAATTCTCAGGTACCACTGCATGTATTCATTTTCATCTACTTCATCATCACTTTCCACAATATTCAGATGACGATCACCCCATTCACTAAGTTCTGATTCCATTTTCCCAGACAAGTCTACCCCACCATCCACTCCACGGCTTTTTCTTACCCATTGTGACACGTTTTCTGGGATTGGTTGAGGCATGCCATATTGTCTCAAACAGCGATTAGGAAGGTGCCTTTCTGCCTTATCAAAGCATATCAACATTGTTTTTGACCTCCCCAAAAACAAGGTATTTCTGATATCTTCTGGAATTACTGTACTATCCATGTATTTATAAGGAAGCCACTCCACCTATTGTTAACACAGTAACACCATCACTATCTATTATTCTTCCACAGACAGTGAGCATGAATGTGCATAAAATAAGATAGGAAAAAAGAAAAGGCTTACATCAGTTGGTTTGAGAGAGTCAAGTGCCTTTCGATAAAACACTACATCACGATTTGTTGTTGGACCACTCTGTTTTCCTTTCCACCTAAGTACAAAAGGGAAATGATGGTGGACAGGGTCCCGATTGAGCTTTGGTCTGCCAATGTTCAGATGATAGTAACTCCAACACTGCATCATATAACAAACATCAATAACAAATAAAGTAAAGACCATTATTAAGGGCAGATAAGGAATTACTTCATTCATCAATTCTACTACCAGTACTCACAGTGCAGAAGCCTGCCCCAAAAGATATTATATGAAAAGAGAATACAAAAAATAAAAGAAACAAATAAAACAACCTGAAGTAGGGTCAAACAGCCACAAATGGTGCTTTGAGATTTAACTGAGGCATTGCCAAGTGCCCTGTACAAGAATGCCAATGCTGCTGCACCCCATGCATATTTCCCAGCTTCCTCAAAATCCTCAAACAAAGGAAGGTACATAACAGGGACCTTATTCCCTGTTGTAGTTGAGAAAATTGTGCTTCCAACAAGGTACAGCAGGTAAGCACGAGTGTGACACTCAATCTCTTCAATTGGTGCGTCATCAGGGCACTGGGAAAAGAACTCTTTCAACCAACTTAGCTTCACCATCCCACCACTTGCATAGTTAGAATCTGGTGCTCTCCCTAGATACCTTTCGCACACCAAATTACAAGTGGTATGTGTTACTCCAATCACTGGTTTCCCATCGATTGCCAACCCCAACAAGTATGCAACGTCTTGAAGCGTAACAGTCATTTCCCCAACAGTAAAGTGAAAAGTATTCGTCTCCTTCCTCCACCTCTCAACCAGTGCAGAAATAAGTGGATTGTCCAGACTAATTGCAGGTATCTTCCTTAAATACCCAAACCCTGCTCTCTCTACCAACTCAATCTGTTCGGGAGTAAGTCTCCACTCACCCAACTTTGAGGTGTGCTCATGACATCTGAGAGCACCCCTTTCCTGTAAATTCATCACCAATAATGTCACTAGTTACCACTAAAGATTCCAGAAGGCTATAAGCACATAAATATATACACTAAACGAGCACATATGCAAATACATTAATGAATGCGTATGATGTATTGATATTATTACCTGGCCATCCCAAACAGCTGAAGAGACATGCTTTTCTTGATCATACAGTACCAAAGGGTCAATTGGTCCGGGATTGGTTGTACAAGGGTCCATTACAAGCACTGCTGCTAATTCCAAAAATTAGCGGAATTAGCTCATAAACTGCAGGAAAAAAAAAATAACTTCACAAAATGCATGCCACAAAGGGAACAATTGTTTTTTTTTTTTTTTTTCCCATAAAGTAACTGAAATGCAAAATCCAACTAGTTTAAACACCGACTCACATAAATTCTGCATTCCTTCACCAACATTTATGAGACCCTTAACAGATATAGAGATTTTCAAATAACAATTTTAGGGTTTAATCGCAATTAGTGGAAATTTCAAACTCGTGCCTTTTTCAATATTTTTAGGAAAATAATAGTGAATGGTGTCTTAATCTGAAACCCTAATGTCTCAAAACCCTAAATTCTGTCCCGATCAGGCAGTAAACCTCCGGTGGGTCTCCGATAAGCGGCGTGAGAATTTCTCAGTGCCAATCGACGGAGTTTGAATTGGAAAAACAAAATTAAGAATAGAAAATCAGCATCAGAGGGGACGAAACGACGACGGAAGAAGAAAGAAGAAGTAGTACCTTGGAAGATTTAGTCAAAACGACGACGGAGAAGCGCCGACTCGGAAGTCCCCGTGAAAGGGAGGCGTAGAGCAGATTCAGAAAAAAACCGTCAAAACGCGTCGTTGCGAAATTTCAGAGACGGGGATTTTATACGCAGATCGAAACGTACTGGAGCACGTGGCAGGCTATAAACAACTTAACTAAAGACTGGGCCCTTGTTTGGTAATATTTACCGGCCTTTGGGCCTAGGCCCAATTTGCATTAATGTAAGGTTTTCCCATTCCAATTATCTTTTATATTTATGGCACGCACCTCCACACGGCCAATCCCTCCAGCTTAAAATAAAAAATTTTAAATTTAAATAGTATGTCATGTGAGTGGGATGAAATAAAAAATAAAAGATAATTATTTTATATTATATAATCAAGATAAAAAAAAAATATTGTGTAATTCTTGTCTGATAAAAATCGTTAAATTGGTGACCACCTTTATGTGATTACAAGTCCTCTCTCATCTTTATAATCATAAATATTAATGAAAAATTATTGTATAATTTAAATTATATAATAAAAATTATTAAATTATAAGTAAATTTTTTAATATTAAATTTTTTTTATCTAACTAATTTTATTTTATAATTTAATATAATTTAACTGATAAAACATCTCACAAAACAAGAAACTCAAAAAGTACAAGTTACTTGCAGTTCATTAAGGCAGGGATGCGGTAGAGCAACAGCAGGAGTACGATGCCTCCTCCATGATTCAACTGATCCCTGGGTGCGTGGGTTCTCCACGAACATTGGCAGTGCTTCTAATTTCCTATAAGAATTGTTGGGCTGCAGAGAGGGACGAAAACCCTGTAAATATGTTGGGAATTTTTCACCATGTCCTTGAAATGGACTCCATTCCAATGGGACAGCTTGTACAAGGCGACTTGACCATGGATATTGCATCTCTGCTTTTGCATATTCATCAGCTCATTAGTAGCTTCGCCTCAGCCCGCCTCTCAATAATTCAAGATACTTTACGTGAAGAGAATTCTCAGCACTCCACCTGCGCATGCATTGCTTCATTCGATTTTGATTTGCCTACGCTCACACCACATATTTTGACAAGTGGCCAGTTGGTATTCTTAGATTATCGATACTTATTTTAAAATATTATATTCAGATTGTAATTGACTATATACATTTAAATTCCTTGGTTTTATACTTAAAAATATTCAATTGTATAATTTATATTTAAAAATATTCTATCGTATAAATTTATATATAAGATTTTTGTATGTACAATGAAAATAAAAAAATAATAAATCTTTCTTCAAATTATTATTCTTTTCTGTTTCCAACATAATATCAAAGCTATAAGCTCTTGATTCTTTTCTTTTATCATCGTTGTTTGGTTTTTTGGAGTTAGATTTTCAAATCCATTCAAATCTGAAACTCTATCGTTGGGATCTCTTCTCATACAGATTAGATTGTTTACTATCAAGCTCTTTCTAATATATTTTGTTGAGTCGTTATTTTGATCCTGACATTTATTTCTTCATATTTTTAGAGATTTTTTTTAGTATTATAAATTTTATTAATTCTATGGTGAGTTTTGAGAGCACTGTAACTCATCTTACTACTATTATAGTTGCCAAAGAAGTGATAGACCAATCTAATGTCAACCTTGAATCCTTAAAACATGTGATATCAAATCTTTTTAATGCTCTTACTGCCTTATCTGATGCCCTAAGTACCAAACCTTGGTATTTTGATTTTGGTTGTTGTAATCATATGTTTTCAATTACTGCTTATTTCTCTTCAATGTCACGAAATAATTCTTTTCCTAATATTTATTCTACCAATGGTTCCCTTATGAGTGTTAGTCACATTGGCAATATTTCTACAAAGTCATTGACTTTACCAAATGCTCTCTTGGTTCCAAAACTTAGTTATAATCTTCTATTTGTTGGTCAATTATGTGATCTTGGCCTTGAAGTAACATTTTCCGCTCATGGTTGTCGTGTGTAGAACCCATAGATAGGACAAATTCTTGGAATTGGTCACAAGGTGGGGCAGTGTTTGAGCTCAATTATCTGCATATTCCACATCATAAAATGGATACACCATCGTTTCCAAATGATTGCTTCATCCAAACCTTACTATGTGTTATTGAATTAGAGTCTTTACAAATTCCATACCAATAAATTTTGCAAGCTTGTGCTACTACTAACATTTCTCCTCTCCATTTGTGGCACTCATGGTTAAGACATACTTCAATTGGTAAATTTTGTCCACTTATCTCTTGTGGTTTATTAAGAGCAATTCCGAATGAATCCTTGCATTGTGTGTCATGTCAATTTGCAAAGCAACTAACTTTATCTTTTTCAAGTAGTCATTCTCATTCTATTGCTCCTTTTGATGTTGTGCATTTTGATGTTTGGGGTCCATCTCCTACACCCACCATTAAGGATTCCAAGTAGTTCATGTTATTTATTGACGATCATACTCGTTTTACCTGGATATACCTTATAAAAAACCACTCTGAATTACCATAAATTTATATTGATTTTGCTACCATGGTCAAAACTTAATTTCTAAAATTATCAAAGTTTTGAGAACTGACAATACTATTGAATATGTTGGTACTAAACTTCAATTTATTCTAAAATTATAGGGTACATTGACACAACAATCTTGTCCTTACACTTCTGAACAAGATGGGCGAGCTGAACGCAAATGCAAACACAAACACATCTTTAATTTTATTTGTGCTTTACTCATTTGACCTTCTTGTCTAGAGCGATATTGGGGTGAAGCTGTTTTTACAACCATATATCTCATTAATCACATTCCATCATTAGTTCTTAATAATTAGTCTCCATATGAGTGTTTACATGATATTCTTCCTGCCTATGATCTTCTTAAGGTTTTTGGCTATGCATGTTATGTTCTTTTTCTACCTCATGAACATAACAAGTTAGAGCCTAGAGCTCAGAGCTCGGTTATGCTATTTTTTGGATTATGGGATTACACAAAAAGGATATCTTTGTTGGGATCTTGTGTCACAAAAACTCCGAGTTTCACATCATGTTGTCTTTTGGGAAAACATTATGTTCTCATCATTGTCGAACTTCAACATGTCATCTTTTCATCAACCTCCATTTTTTACTAATCCTTCTATTGAGCTATTTCTTAGTGATTCTGATGCAAGTACATCTGAAGAGTTTTACAATGCCTCACCACATGCTCCAACTAGTTTTGTAGAAGATGATTTGCTTGTTAATAATGTATTAAGATAATTCTAAGCCTTCTTTTACTTCCTCATCTATATCACATGTTAATGTTGCATATGATATTGTTGAGTCTACAAATGAGCTTATTGTCCCATCCTTAAGTCATTATACTCGGGTAAGAAACCATCTTAACTACCTTTGTCATTATCATTGTTTTCCTACTATTACTTCTTTACATGAGCTTAATCTTATCAAGAGGCATCTTCTAACCCTCTTTGGCAACAAGCTATGCAAGATGAATTATAGGCTCTTGAGAACACTCGTACATGGGATTTAGTTGATCTCATTGTTGAAAAGTCTTTAATAGGTTGTAAATGGGTGTACAAGATCAAAACACGATCTGATGGTTTTGTGAAGCGTTATAAGGCACGCTTGGTTGCTAAGGGTTTTACATAGGAGTATGGAATAGACCATGAGGAAACATTTGCTCTAGTTGCTCATCTGGCATCTATGCACAGTTTGCTTGCTATTGCCACCATACAGAGTTGGAAATTATTTCAGATGGATGTGAAAAATGCTTTTCTTGATGGTGACCCAGGAGAAAAAGTTTATATGAAACCACCTCCTAGGCTCAACCATCCTCCAAACAAGTTATGCCGATTACGACATGCATTATACGGGTGGAAGCAATCCCCTCGAGCCTGATAGGTAAAGTTTAGTGCTACTGTGAGTGAGTTTGGTTTTACTTCCAGTCCACATGATACAGCTCTGTTCATTCGTAAGACTGCTTAGGGTATGGTTCTTTTACTTCTTTATGTTAATAACATGATTATTACTGGAGATGATATCAAAGGTGTTGAGGAGCTAAACAATCTCTCAATCAAAAATTTGAGATGAAAGATCTTGGTATTCTAAGCTATTTTTTGGGACTTAAAGTCACCTCTTTAGATGATGGCTATTTACTTTCTCAAGTAAAGTATGTCTTTGATCTTGTTTCTAAAGCTGAACTCAATGATAGTAAAAGTGTTTCTACACCTTTTGAACCTAATGTCAAGCTTAAACATATGGATGGCTCACCACTTTTTGATCCTACTCACTATCGGCAATTGGTTGGCAGTCTAGTTTATCTTACTATGACATGCCTTAACAAAGCATATGCAATTCACATTGTTAGTTAGTTTTGGTTGTTCTTTGCTCCATTCATTATGTTTGGCATTATTCGCTATGTCAAGGGAACATTGTTTCATGGACTCCATTTTTCTACTAACTCTTCCCCTATGCTTCGCACTTACTCTAATATTGATTAAGCTAATGATCCTTCTAATCGTAGATCTACCACTAGTTACTATCTTTTCTTTGGTAATTCTCTTATCTCTTGGTGGAGTAAGAAACAAACTATTCCATCCTACTATAGTACTGAAGCTAAGTATAGAGCTCTCAGTGATACAACATCAAAACTTGTTTTATTACGGTGGCTTCTTGAAGATATGGGCATTCCTCAACCTTTTTCTATTGATTTATATTGTGATAATCAAAGTGCTATACAGATTGCTCACAATGATGTCTTCCATGAACGCACAAAGCATATCAAGGTTGATTGCCACTTTCTTCGCCATCATGGTGCAAAGGGAACTATTCATTCAATTTTCATTAGCTCTATTGATCAACCTACTAATTTGTTTACCAAGGCTCACTTCCCTGGGTGCTTCTAAACTCTTCTTTCTAAACTCAAGTTGATTTCCTCACCACCATCTTGAGTTTGTGATGGGATGTTAGATTATCAGTACTTATTTTAGAATATTACATTTACATTGTAATTGGTTATATATATATTTAAGCTAATTGGTTTTATAACTAGGAATATTCTATTGTATAGATCTATATATAGAACCTTTGTATATATAATGAAAATAAGAAAGCAATAAATCTTTTTTCAAATTATTATTCTTCTTCTTTTCTGTTTCCAACAATGAACACAATTTTTCTAAAGAGGTATCAAGAGTTTCTTGCCTGTGCCTATAGGGCTTATTGCCCCTTGATCTTTGGTGTAGCAAAATATTGGAAGTACCATTGGTAGGGAATGGATTTTGATTAATCATCCTTCAATTTTTTAACTTATCCAAAAGAAAATTAAAAATTCACTTTCTAGTGTAAGAAAGAAGCATTGGAAACAAACCAGAACATTTTGCATGAACTTCATGAATATATACATACTCAGATATATTTCAACAACTCCTTTAAGATAAACATGAAGGTTCAAGCCCACTATAGTCTCTCTACTTTCATTTTTT